CAGGAGGGAATACACCCCTCGAATGGACTGAGGCTTGCCAGCAAGCATTTCAAAAACTTAAGACTGCACTTGCCTCAGCACCAGCCTTGGCACTGCCAGACTTAAATAAAGCCTTCACCCTGTATGTGGCAGAAAAGAATGGGGTGGCTAAGGGAGTGATTACTCAGCCTTTGGGGCCATGGAAACGGCCTGTGGCATACCTCTCAAAAAGGCTCGACCCAGTGGCCCGAGGTTGGCCTAGCTGTTTGAGGACAATAGCAGCAGCTGCTGCGTTAATCCGAGAGGCTGACAAACTGACCTTTGGACAGGATTTAACTCTGATCACCCCCCATGCCATCGAGCCCTTGTTAAATAGCTCACCTAACAAGTGGCTGTCTAATGCCAGACTGCTACAATATCAAGGACTTTTATTAGAACAGCCACGCATTAAGTTTGCCACCACTGCTAGCCTCAATCCGGCCACCCTGCTCCCGGAGTCTGACGAACAATTGCCCATCCATGATTGTCTCGAGACTCTCGAAAATTTGAGAGGAGGGCGTCCGGACCTGACGGACCAAGCCCTCCCCCATGCAGAAATAACTTTCTATACTGATGGGTGCAATTTTGTTCGTGATGGTGTGCGGTATGCTGGAGCAGCGGTGGTTAACCAGGACCAACAGGTAGAATGGGAACAGGGGCTACCTCAAGGGACTTCAGCTCAGAGAGCAGAGCTGATTGCCTTGACCAAGGCTCTGGAATTGGGAAAAAGAAAAAGAATAAATATATTCACGGATAGCCGCTATGCTTTTGCTACTGCCCATGTACACGGGAAAATTTATCAAAATAGAGGACTGTTGACCTCTAAAGAAAAAAAAATCAAAAATAAGACTAAAATATTGGCTTTGCTGCAAGCAATCTGGTTACCCCGAGAGGTTGCCATCATCCATTGCCGTGGGCACCAGAAGGGACTTAACCCCGAAACAATTGGTAACAATGCTGCCGATCTGGCAGCCAAACAAGCTGCCCAAAAATCAGTGGAGAAACAAATGGTCCTGCTCGCCACACCGGTGCTCCCAGAAAGACCGAAATACACGGATAAAAAAATTTAAAAAATAAATAAAAATTGCTGGACTCAAGGAGAGCATGGATGGTGGACGACTAAAGAGGAAAAAATAGCACTTCCAGCTGCGGTGGCAGATACGCTGGTACGAGAACTACACGAGTCCACCCACCTCGGTGAGAAAAAGATGATGGCAGCCATACAACCTCATTTCGTCGGTGAGAGATTAGCTCAAAAGGCCCAAGACATGGTGAGACGATGCCCCACTTGCCTCAAGGTAAATGCTAATCGGGTGACCGGGCCCCCTGGGGTCCGGCACCGGGGACTAACTCCAGGAGAACATTGAAAATTAGATTTTACTGAAATAAAGCTTGGCATGTATGGGTACAAATACCTGTTAGTGTTTATAGATACGTTTTCAGGATGGATAGAAACATACCCCACCAAGAGAGAGACAGCTGAAGTTACCGTCAAAAAGCCTTTGACAGAAATAGTTCCCCGATTTGGTTTGCCCTTAGCCCTGGGGTCCGACAATGGTCCGGCCTTTACGGCCAAGATATCTAAATTAACTAGTAATATCCTCAAAATAAAATGGAGCCTACATTGTGCCTATAGGCCTCAAAGTTCGGGACAGGTAGAAAGAACAAATAAAACTTTAAAAGAAATTTTGACTAAATTATGCTTGGAGACTGAACTAGGTTGGGTAGAGCTTCTCCCTTTTGCCCTCCTC